AATGTTTGGCCTGGGACTAAGGCACAGGCAGCCACAGAGTTCTACCAGCTGCAGGGTCTTGGAAGTGCATCCTGAGATTCCAGCTCTGGGAATTGCACTCAGCAATGGGACAGTTTTATATGCTTCTTTCTATGCCCTCACGGATGTTACTCAAGAACATTTGGTTCACTCCTCGTCTTATTTGTGTCTGCTCTTTCTTTCAGATGTTGTTTTTCAACCTGCCATTAATGGCTTATCTGTGCTGGTGCCTGTTGCAGCGATGCCACGGTCACAGCTTCTGCTCTCACCTCCATCGCGTTGGACGCCTCACGGCTGTGCTTGTCCACCTGGCAATGGCCCTCCTCCTGGCCTGGCAGGTCTATTCCTGCTATTTCCTGCAGCGAACCTATGGGACTTTGGCTTTCTTCCTCTCCCCAATGAGAATGTGGTTGGTGGTGCTGACCTCAGCTCTGATTTATAAAACCTGGACGCTGAAATCATCTGAGCTTAGATCTTACATAGTAGAAATGAAAAACTGTCAGAACTCATGAAGTACAATATAAACATTCAAAGTTCTGACTTAAAAACTGTCAAGGCACAGCCTATAGTTTTGTGATTCTGTACAGCCCAACCATTAGGTGGGAAGCCCTGAAGCAGTACCTGCATTGCTACAGAGCTCTATTAAAGAGGAAATGTATAACAATATGTATTATATATTTCTATTGTATTATACATATACAATATACTGTATAATACATATTATATGTATTTCCTTTCAATGGTAGTAGATGGCAGTAGTGGGAACAGCTGTGTGAGGTGTGAACAGGTGGATGATCTGCTGAGCCTGGTGGCAGAGACACGAGAGGAGGCAGAAAGGTTAAGGAGCATCAGGGAGGCAGACTGGTGGACCAATGCTCTGCCCTCCCTGAGACAGAACAGCCACCAGAAGGAACCCAAGATCAAGGGGACCCCGTTTCCTCCCCTCACCAAGCAGATGGCAGTAGTTGAAACAAAAGGAGTGAATGGAGGCAAATCCACCCTCAGGGCTGCAGGCAAACATCCTACTTGCCCATCTCACCTTCCCAGGTGCCTCTGTACAACAGGTATGAGGCTCTGGATGTGGAAGGCCAGTCAATGGATGATGGTTCATCTACACCAGAGGTGTTGCTGAAGTCAGAAAGGCCTATCCCCCATATCATGACCACTTCCAATAGGAAGATGGGTTATAGTTGTAGGTGACTCCCTTCTGAGGAGAACAGTGTCCAATATGCTGGACGGACCTTCCTCTTAGGGAGGTTTGCTGCCTCCCTGGGGCCCAGGTTACAAACATTGCTAGGAAACCTCCTAGCCTGGTGCAACCCTTGGACTATATTACCCATTACTGATCTTCCATGTGGGTGGTGATGAAGCTGCAACGCATAGTCCAAGAGCAATCAAGATACTTCAGGGCCTTTGGATGGATGGTTGGTGAGGGAAGCTGGGGCACAGGTTATTTTCTCCTCTCCTTTCAGTTGTGGGCATAGGAAGAAATAGATGGACCCAGTCTAAAAGTACATGGTTCCATGGCTGGTGTCACCACTACAATTTTGGGTTTTTTGATTATGGGATGGTCTACATGGCAGGCTTGATGGCATCACATGATATTCGCCTTTCTCAAAGGAGGAAGAGGGTCTTTGCTCAGGAGCCTGTGGGACTCATTGACAGATTTGAAAGGGAAGAGGGATAACATCAGGCTTCCCTGTGATAAGCTGTGGGATGACATGCCAAGGTTAGAGAGCCCTCAGCCTGTTGTTTGGAGATGTGCTGGACACAACTGCAGCACATTCAGTCTTATGAAGATGAGCAACAGGCTCCTCAGGTAATAAGAGCCAATAGGGAAGCACTGGAGAAATAACTCAGAGGAATTCCAGCCTCTCCAGTCTGTAAGTCAGCTTCACCAAGAGCCCAGCTTAAATGTCTCTGCAAATGCATGCAGCAGGGGCAATAAATAAGAGGAGTAAGTGCCATGGGCGTGCCTGCAGGGCTATGACCTGATTGGAATCACTGAGACATGGTGGGATGATTCCTATGGCTGGAGTGTTGGAATGGGAAGATACAGGCTCTTAAGGAAAGACAGGCAGGGGAGACAAGGAGGGGTTGTTGCCCTCTACATCAGTGAACAGCTGGAGTCCATGGAGCTCTGCCTAGGGATGGGTGAGGAGCTGACCAACATATGGGTCAGGATTATAGGAAGGGGAGGCACAGGGGACATTATAGCAGGGGTCTGCTACAGGCCACCCGATCAGGAAGATGGAGTGGATGACACGCTTTATAGACAGATAGGAGTACCCTCATGTTCACAAGCCCTGCTTCTCATGGGACCACCCTGCTGTCTGTTGGAGGGACAACACAGCAGGGCATAAGCAATCCAGGAGGTTTCTGGAACATGTTGATAATGACCTCCTCCAAGTGAAAGAGGAGCCAATGAGAAGTGGCTGGCTAATTAACGTGCTTCCTCTGGGAGGAAGCAGTTCTGTTTTCCACTGCCATGGTTGCAAATTTTCCCACACTTGACCAGTGAAAGGACAGTGAGTGATCAATGTTGCTGGGATTCCCAGCTGTAGTCAGAGTTCAGCTTTAAAGAAAATGGAGACAGTGTCCTCAGGATGGGAGAGCCTGAAGGAATCATGTGGTCTGATGCCTATAAGGTCTGTGATGGGGTCACGGCTGTACTTCTGGGTCTCAGTCAAATGCACCAAAGAGTGACCTAGGAAAACTCACTTGTTTCCAGTTTTTCTAAGTCAAAAAATGATAGAACAGTTACATTTATGAATAATGTAATGATCCAGAGCCAAGACAGCTGAGGTGCCTTTATATATAAAGTGAGGAGAACACTGATCAGAATCACAAGACTACTGAGTGGAACATTTAAAATAATTTAGGTAATTTTAAAGTAACTTATTTATGCCTCCTTGAGAAAAAGGAGAGGTAACTTATTTATAGCACCTTGGAAAAAAACAGCAGTGATTGAGGTATAACATAAAGGAAAATAAATTGAATTTCAATAAAATATTTATTACAATTATGAGTTTGTTATTTCTAAAATATGAGTTTTCCTGTTCCTTAATTCCTGTTCCTCAGTGATTGAAGATACAATAGGAAAAAGAGTAACAGCTCTCATATGCATAATTTAAATACACTGTTAAGAGAATACAGAATATAATTTCTTGGTACATAAAAAAAAAGCTGCTAGAAAATCAGTGGCAGGGCACAAAGTTTACTTGTGAGAACATTACTGAAAAAATTAATAAAACTGACATTTTACTATGAAATTATTTTTATGTGATCAGGAAGTCTAAGAAGTGGCAATGAAGTATTTCATACCTATACCCTGTGACAAGACCCTGTTCTGAAATTGGAGTATTTTTTGTTGTTGTTGTGGTGATGGTAGCAGTTCATTGCAATGTAATCTAATCTCCATGTAATCAAATGTCTATGGACTTAAAAATATGACAGTCTGTCAAATATTTCCTTTTTGGCTTCTTGGGATGTGTTTGGTAGATGGATGGAATTCTGTCAAGAAACTCTCAGTGCTCTTCTTAGTATTGTGAGCAAAGATGTTTTATTTGTAGCTGTGCGACACCTGGATTCAAGGACTCAAGAATCACATGCTCTGAAACATGGTTGATGTGTGAATTGGTAAGTGTGTGGGAATGATATAATAAATATGGAGGTGAAGGGACCATCCTGCTGCCTTGGTGTCACAGTGAAAAGCACACTGCAGAAACTTAGAACTCTACCCTGCATAGGAAGCACCTCTAAGCTCATGCTCTACAGATAGAGCTATTGCAGATTTTGTTGCCTAACAGAAAAATGCAGTTTACCTTGTCTCACATTAATTCAGATTTTCTCCTTAAGCAGTTTTCCAGTATTCTAAAACTTTAGCAGGAATATATCAACTTTCCTTCTTGAGCTGTAGGTGAACTGTATGCTTTAATACAGGAAGACTTTAAGTCTTTTTCTTCTTAAAAGTTTGTTAATTCTTTATATCACAGGAGGCTGAAAGTTGTTAGAAGTACAGATTAGAAGACAGCTTCTAATTTAGCTGTCCTTATATAGGCAAGTGGTTGCCCAAGTTAACAACGAGTAAGAAAAATTACATCTGATTTTCTCCTTTAAAATTTAAACAAAATCTATTAATTTTATAAAGTAAAGCCCATTTTCCTGAACACATCTCTGGTCACTTGAACCAGTGATAACTGGAGAAACCTCTGACAACTAGGAAGATAGGACAAATCTGCAAGCCACCCTCTAGAGAAAACTGCATTTGTTCCTCTGCTGGCCTGTGGTACCCTGAAGAACCAGTCAACACAGTGGGTTGAAGACAGACATTCCAGTGCAACAGGCCCTGTGTTGTTCTGATAAATTGCCTGGGTTTGGTCGTCTTTCAAAATTAAGCTCTTCTGCACACCAAAAGGCAGCATTTATACTGAGAAGGTAACAATACCCTACTGTAATGTATTTTAGCATTTACAGCAATGGGCATCAGTGTAAGATCTGTCATAGTGTTATGTGGTTTATGACCCATTTTTCCAGCTTATGGATTGAAAAGGTTTTATTTATCAACTCCTTTACTTGAACAGAAGCAAATGCCTTTGCTATTCACTACTTCTGACATATAGTTGTCTTTTAAAATAGTAGTATACAGCTGTTTCAAGGTAACCAAGAGAGTATAGAGGCCTTCTGAAGAGTGTCCTTCCCAAGCTGTTCATTAGAAGGACACATAGTCCTTTGCTACATGAAGTGAGCAAAGCAAGTACAGGATTGTGGAACCAGACTGCCGAAGTGCTTTATGAATGGGCAGCACACATCAGTATAATCTGTGACAAATCAATATTTCAAAGTATAAATGCTTCTTTAAAATACTTTGCAGGGTTTGTTGGCTTGGTTTGTTTGGATTTTGGTTTGTTGGGGTTTTTTTAATTTGCATGGAGGAGCTCATTTAATATACTTAATTCCCATTTGAAACTACTCTAAAGGGACACTTGAAATTATTAATTAGAAAAATTCTGACAATGTCTTTCAAATACATTTTGGGTTTTTTTAAGTCTCTTTTAGAAAAAGCATGTGTAGTTTTTCATGCTACTGTTTACTTATGATGGAATTTTTGTGTTCCTTGGTGAATTACATCCAAGATGCTGTGAAATACATAACAAATTAGGAAAAAGAAAGATTAGTTTACATGCGTTACTCTCAGTGCTCTGCGGTCTGAGCAAAACTTACAGCGGGAAGGTCCCAGAAGAATGCCACTGCCATGCATAATTTCCTATAAATGTCAGCAATGAAAGCCTGTCCCATTCAGTGATCTAAGTAAAGAGATCCTGGTATTCAGTGTAGTGGAAAATGCAAGGATAGAGGCAGAGAGAGGCTTTTATCTGTGTGCTTTTCCCACTATCTCTAAGCATATAAACAAAAAATAAAATACAAAACCCCCACATTAAAACAGTTGCAAAAGTTCAAAGGACCCCATTCTGGAGCTGGCTGAGGCAAAGGTGAGAGACAGCTGCCTGCA